ATAAATTTGTGACCTCAGGGTCACAATAAAAGAATAAAGGGGGTGTCCTTTTATAGCATTGGCCATCTGGAACCATTAAGGGCTCAACTGTGCGAGATACTATCTTTTTTTTAAAGTTTCCTTAAGAAGCCATGCTATTTTTATTAGGACACCAAAAATGTTTTCTCTCTTGAGCCAAATATTTTTTTTTCTGAAATAAGTTTCCCCATGAAGGATAAAAATATGTAATGTGTAAATATAACCTTTTGTTTGTGTTACAAAGTCTATTTTCTCTCCCTGTAATAAGACATTGAAGTATAAGAGAGCATAATAAAGAAAATAATCTGTGTCGTTTGTTAATTTTGCTTGTGAATTGTCACAAAAATGTACAAAAACCACAGTGCATTCCTTGTTTTTAAAATCTACTTTTCAGTGCCATTTGCACAGCAAACTTCTTTGGCATGAATTTCCAGAATGATCTTTAAAGTGCACGTTAGTTCAGGCTAGTAACCAGACTCATTAGCCTTTTGCGGCCCTGGTCCTATCTTTGTGGACCACAGGTGTGCTGTAGTTTTAATTCTAAGGTCTTCATCACCAGGGTAAGCTGCCAGGGTGGAAAGCAATGATGCAAACAGCTTTCCGAACTCTGAGGATAAAATACATTGGTGATGACAAGATAAATAATAAGAATATAATTTCTTATGTTATTGGAGCTGAAAAAAGAAAATCAATGCTTTTAAAAGGTACTGTAGATGGAGCTGTAATGTTTATTAGGGTCAATAATTGGTGGCGATTAGTCATAACGTACAAATTTGGGTAAAAGAAAGCAATTGAGATCTGGGCTCAGTAATGTAATAAAACTGGTGTCCAAGTAGTTTGGGGAGATTATTTACGCTCATGTCTCCCTTGAGAAGAGGTTGTCCATATTCTCTCATTCTGGTGTCTTTCTTTCTTAAACGGACTGTACTTTCTGACATAAGTAAGCTGAATTATCTTCACTTTGAATGAATTGAGCTTCATATATTATAGGGTTTAGTCATTTATAAATTAATCTAAGTCACT